TCATAAAACTTGGAGGGCTGGCTCGAGCTTGATCCAGTTATTCATTCTGTCTGGTACTCAAGAAATATAGTCCAGGTTGTCTGAAAATGAGCTCATTTATCAAGAATAGCCGAAACTTTCCACTTGGGTACAAGCATCAGCTGCAGCACCTTTACATGTCATTAAAGACCTGCAGCACTGAAGAACAAACTGGCAAGCCCACATCAATATTGCTGTGAAACAACGAAGCAAGGGCCAAGCCTATTAGCAACTAACAGAAGCAGAATTTATGGGAAAACGACTGACCACAAAATGAGGGATCTCAGAGCCTACTTAAAGGCCTGCTGACAGAAACTTGGTCTTAAAGGAGAGCCCCACCTGAGGCAGGTGGAAATTGAATATTGTATTATATTTCCTGTGGCTTTTTGTGGAGCGGGAACTTGGCAGTGGAACAGTGAGCGTGGCGGAATTTATAGAAAGCACATTCGAGTAACCCCCTTTAATTGAATAGAGTCGAACTGTCTGCGTCATTTTAGCTATGCTAACTATACACACCCGCACTCACATTTCATGTCAGTTCCGATGCTGCAGCGATGAAAAGTAGGCAAAATGAGGCAAACTTGCGAGCGCTGAGCCCTGTTGAAAGATGATATTAGAAAATATTTGTTTCATCTCTGTGACATAATTGGATTAGCAGGGCGGGAAGAGGCTGTCCCAACTGTCTGCTGAGGGCAGGTGAGGAGAGACAGAACGAACTATAGTCTGGTTTAAGTCTTCATGTGGGACTGAATTCTTTTCTTCTTTCTCGTCTCTCTCTTTCTCTCTATCTCTGACATCTCCTTCTCTGGTCCTTCCCTCTCCTTCCAGACAGAGTGACCAGTAACTGATGCGCTGTAATTACCTCAGGTGAGGCCTGAGCGTTTCCATATGAGCAACCCGAGTTGCAGAGTCTGTCAGATTAACATGATGTGTGTGTTTTCTCTCCACTGTTTAACCTTTCCCAAAGTATCCCCTTCACAGCCTTGTGGAATAAAAAGGTGGAATCTGTTGAGATTTGGTGGTGGGGCTTTAGAGGAAGGGGACAATTAAGGTTTTATTAATGGTGTGCCACTGACGTTAGCCATGTTCACCTGAATGTTGCGTCTGACTGCTGGTCTCTGCTGTAAGGTGAGACGCTTGTTCTGTACTTCTGTGTGTTTCAAAGTTTGCCTGTCTGTCCATTTGGCTCACGAGCTGACAGGCTGGCTCACATCTCAGTACCAAGTAGAAAGCAGAGGAAACACATAGTTCTGCTTGTCTGGAGCAGGGCAATTTCCACTTATGCTTCTGTGTTAATGATAAGAGACGCTAAAAGCAGCTCAGTTTCTCTCCATTGAATGAAATTAGAGAATAAAAAGGTTGGTGGAAGGGGCTAATTTCGGTAAAGAAACAATGTGGTTCTTTGATGTTATACAAGGTGTGGCTATTAAAAAATGAAAATGGGCTTACGTAAGTCGCACAACAGCGCACACACTCAAACCCACGAGGTACACGTTCACCAATAGGTAAGAATAAGCACCCCTGAAAGCTTCACTTGAATTAAATAACATTTAATTACATCATCAGTCTTATTTTTGATAGCTACAACTTGTACTAATGTACTCACACATTTTATGGCTGCCATGGCAAGACCTTGTCATAACTGAACTGTATTTGGTGGGCTTACTCTGGTACACTAGCAATACATTAGTTTAGACTTTGACTGATATAAATTGCACCAACATGGACCCCACACATGAGCATAATGCTCATCAAATTTTGTAATGTCATTCATGGGGTTAGTTTTCACTACCAAACCTTTCTTTTATGGAGAAAAGGAAACACTTCCCAGAACTCCCTGCCTTTTTGCTATTGGTGTGGTTGGTACTGCAGAGACATCTTATTCCTGTTTATCTATATAGCCACTAAAGGGGAGGAGAAGGAAAGGAAGTTTGTCTAGCTTCACCTGGAGGACTTCAAGGTGTTCTTTGATCAAACTGAACATTTAATTTCTTGCATTCTGTGCTTGGCCACGCATCTCCAGGAATACCCGTACTGGGGGCAGAAGATACTTGAACAACTTTAAATGGCTCTTCAATAGAGCTGCACTACTTTACCTACTGATCATTTACGTATAACCATCTGAATTAATTACCAATTAGTTTAACAACAAATTAAATGTTTTGAGATAAAATTCTGTAACTCCAGCTGAAATGTGAATATTTTCTGGTGTCTATACTCGACCCATGACAGTAAACTGAATATGTTTGGGTTGTGAACAAAACAAGACACTTGGACATGAAATACACAAAACAATACTTTTCACCATTTTCGGACATTTTTCAGACCAAACAACTGATCACAATAATTAACAATGGCAATAACCGTTACTTGCAGCCTTATTCTTTACAATAGAAAGGCGTGACAGTTCAGTTCTTCGTCTTATCCCTGAGGGGGAACCCACAACACCTCGTCAAGAGCACACATTTTGGTGGTTTGCATTTACAAGCTAATTCTCCAGCCACAGAGACTGATGCGTAAAATAAGAGGCTCTCCTATATGTTACCTTTTCACCATAACAGCCCAGTTCAATGTTTGTTTCCTGCCAACATTGCACTGATCTGTCAGCCAATCTTGTGATCCATCTTACCCTCAACATTCCTGTATTTTTGTTTTGGGGTTGTTGTTTTTTTTTTTTTAAATATATAAATATCATTAAAATCTTAGTAATTGGGCACATTCAAAAGGAACATTCTTCTTGCAATTCATTCAACGTTTTCAGTACTGAAGCTCAAAAGCTTCACGAGGAAATGGCACTCTTGTCTGACACATCCTCCCCGCCGAGGTCCTCTTGAAAGATTAGCTAGGTATAATCAGGAGCGGTTAGAGGGCAAGGTGAAGTCTGAGAGCTCCACCCATATGCCTGGCTAAATATCACAGAAACATAATGCCACCTTCATTAGCATCACTCTATCTGCCCCACACTGTGCAGTGTTTTCTTTGGGGCCGGCGGGAATGGGAGCCTGAACATGCACAGGCCCTGCCCATCATTATCCATGTTCAAGATGCCTTTTTCTTTGGCCATCCATAACAATCCAGGCATCAAATGAAACCCTTCTGGTTTCCTCAAGTCCCGACATCAGGGCTTTACTTCAGCGTCTGAGGTATGCCATAATTCAGGCACTTTTACACGCTCACATTGGCGCGTTACGGCTCTGGATCCTGAACAAACATGCTTACACAGAAAAGATTTCTTTAAAGGGAAGGCTGAAAATTATGTCGATTTTTCTCTCTCAATTGTCTCTGTGACATAATGACTCTGGCTGGAGGAAGGGAGACCACCAAAGGGGGAAATATATCATGCCAACACATGAAAACAGTGTTCTTTCAAAATGAAGACCATATACAAAGGACACAGTCAAATGCAACGATTAGAGGAGTTTTCTTAGCAGTTGAGCTATAAAGCATTCTCAGCCACATCAGTGGAACAGAGTAGGAGACGGAGCTGTTGTTACGTATAGTTACAGGATAATAGCGGCTTAAAATACAGATTTACAGTGCAAAAACACTATCCAGCAAAAGACTCCACCTCCCGTTCTCTCTCCAAGAGCAGAGGGTGGAGAAAGAGACTGCCTGCAGACTGCAGAGAATCCCAAGTGAAGATGAGGTTATAGCAGACAGACAGACAGAATGTGTTACATTCATTACTTCAGTCTGTCGGCTAGCATATAAAGATATCAAGTGTGCTCATCTTCTCCCTAAAGTCTGCAGCTATCTAGTTTAACAGGCAGTAACCAAACCACAGGCCCATTCATGCTGGTAGAGGGGGCAGTCAGAAGATCTGGGTGGGTAGACTGTTGGAATGACAATAAACTGTAAAGTCTGAATGAGACTGGAAGAAAGGCGGGTGAAAGAAGCAGCGTGAAGCAAAGGTGCAAATGTGTGCTTTTATGTGAAACCGGCTCATGGGTGGGGGACAGAAGGTTCACATTCTCCTCCGTCCCATGAAGGGAATGATGTGACTACAAAGAGAGGTTCCCGCTCCAGTGTTAGAATTCAGACCGTCTGTCAAATGAAGCCAACGTGGAAGAGCCGCAAACTGCAGTTCCTCAAATGGCCACTGGAGGCTGGATATAAAAACGAGTAAATCCTCCTGGACACCCTACGTTTAAATGTCCAACTTTACAATAGAAACAAACAGCCTGTTAGGAGAAAAAAAAAAACTGTTGCGTGCGCCACAGAAAATCCCCACACACAACAAAAGCCGCGCCCCAAAAAAAAAAAAAAGGCACAAAAACACAGAGGGGGCCGCAAAGGGACAGTGCATGGCCTTGAGACGTTACAACCTCAGCTCCATTCACGTTCCCCCTCTTCACTGATTTTTGGATTAGCCCAGAGTTAGGAAAAGAAAGGCACTGCCAAAATGGTGGCGCCCAGAGACTCCCCACTGATGTTCAAATACTATTCAGGAAACCTGTGAGCGATGTCACCGCAGGTTCATCCATCTTAATACAGACCAAAGGTGGAGCCTCAAGCCAGAATTAGATGGATGGAGGGATCTTTTCTTTCCATTGTTTTTTCAGATACAGTTTTTTTTTAATTATTATTGTTATTGGGATTTAAATAGCTTCTTAATTTAAATTTGATGGCAGTTAGAATTGAATTTTAAGGAACATACTGCATGTAGAAGACTGTTTATTGTGTTTCTTTATGTTGAAATCACTGCTCACAGAACTGCTCCTCCATAAATGATGAGTACATCTGTAAGCAGGTTAAACAACACTTGATGTGCAAAAACGTGGTTTTCTACGCTGACAAAATCAAAACTGTTACCTTCATAGTATGCACTAGAGAAGAAGATGTCCTTGCAGTGCCATGACAAGAGCACCATGGGTACTAAATCAGAAACATATCTTAAACAAACAACTAAATGAAACCTAAACAGTTCAAGTATAATTCCAAACTGAAAGATGCGGGTTTGTTTGTTTTGCATTTTGTTTTACCTTGACAAGCGAGTGGAGGCTTCTCTCTCCAAACATGTCCTGAAGGAAGGCGTTGTCCTCAGGGCGGCTGACATGAGGCTGCAGCTGGGATGGCAGGGCCGCCAGCAGCTCGTACAGGCCTGCAGAGGGGGAGGAGGAAACGGAGGGTCAGCATGGCAGGGGGAGGTATGAGAGCATACATGCACAGTCACACACAACACACAGACGTGCAGACATCTGCAGTTTAATAATAAAGGACTGAAGCTGTTTAAAGAACAGACGCTTTGTACGTGTGCATGAATACATATAGACCCAAACGTACGCACGGTCCCGCTACATTTTCAATACCCCCCCTTTGCTGCTGTAACTGCAAATTTCCCTACTGTGGGACTAATAAGGGCTTATCTTTTTCTTTTCAGGTACATCACACGCATTACGTACTCCCAGATTTATTGATGCACTTTTATTTCCTCCCCAGACAAACTCATTCAGACAGAAAAATAGATTGGAAGTTCTGCAAAATACCTTCAAGACTCTTATTCCATTTTTTTGCTTGTCACTGGAAGCAAAAGGAAACACAGAGGTAATAAAGCATTTCCCCCCAGCCGCTACTTCCAGCTTTTGTCCCTGACTTTCCTGTTGTTTGAGGAACACTGCTGTCCCCAATTAGAAACAATTCCAAGACTCCATGTCGGACAACTAGACATTCCACTACTTTTTGATCAGCTGAAAAGTTCAATATGAACCTTCTTTTTTGTGTTATTAACCAGATGGTACACATGCCTCGGGAGGCTTTCCATCTACACATCTTCTCTGCCTGTAAACACTCAGCTTTTTTGGAGTAAAGTGCACGTGTGTTTGCTAAACAGACGTTTTGGTGTTAGCGCTCAGGATAAATTGTCTATGTGGCTGTTCTGAGGGGTATGTCAGCATGTTTTTTTTGTTTTGGTTTTGTTTTTTAAGAATTTGTCACAACTCAAAATGAACTGTTCTGAAGTAAGTATTTGAAGTGAGTGAAAAGAGCAGACTTGGCCACAGACCAACTGATGTCATGAGCGCACAAGGACAGCAGACTTTTGCATTTATCCAGGCCTATGTGGCCAATATACAGGTCATTACCGCAGCATGAGCAGAGTTTGTTGGTGACAGTGAGAGAAACAGGATTCATGGAGAAGCAGGCCCATAGCTGAATCTGAACCGCCTCAGAGCAACATATGCTGAAATCTACAAGGCCTTTCGGGCTTTACTAACCCAGCTTATAAAAGGAACGAATATTTCAAATTCAATTTAAAGAGAACCAGACTGGGGAGCTGATGGTTTCAAGATTAAGCAGAGGGGAGGTGAAGCACTCAGAGAGAGAGAGCACAAAACCAGCGAGTGACTGGGGTTCATTCCAAACACAACAGAGTTCTGGAGTGCAACTGATGGAGAGTAGTAGCAGATACTTGTTTGTTGTTCCGTTCTGGTCCTCAGCGTGGCTGTGATCCACTAAACCAGGGATACAACAAAGGTCCGGCCCATACAGAATGTAGCTTGGGTGGGTTATATGCATTAAAGACAAGACCCCTTAACTAATGTGCCAGAAAAGGCCCCCCAGATTCAAGCTCCTCAAACACAACCACACAGTGCTTGAAACCCTTTGAACTAACACTGATCATGTGAAGAAACTCTAAACACATTCACGGCGGAGCCATCGAAACGTCAAAACAAACTTGAGCGGCTTGGCTACCTCTCTGAGCGTGTCTTTCATCAGAGGACAGAGCGAAAGAGAGGAAGCAGAGAGGAAGAAAAAAAAAACCCACCACAGACGCAACTGGAGTAATTCATAGCTGAAGATGATTGATTGAAAACAATGGTAGACATCGTTGGCTGGATGAATGACTGACTGACTGAACTGGCGGGCTCTGACCCGGTTACAGCAAAAGTGTGCTGGCAGCTCAGACTGTTTGGCAGGAGGGCTGGCCATGGCTGGCTAACTTAGCTCATGTCATGCTCTGCTGCTGCTGTTGGGCACACAGATGGATGGATTGTCATCTGCCACTCTAAACCCTCTGCTTTCCATTTAGAGGTGATTCAGGGTTTGAGTCTCTGAGATCTTTGAGTAGGTGCAGGGGAAATATCAAGATGATATTCTCCCCTGTTCTCAGGCTCCCAACATGGATTCTGTGTAGTGTTAGCGCCTCATACCTCACTGTACCACAAAGGCTCTGTGGTAAAGAAAAAAGTATAACAAAGGAGAGGAAAAGCCACTGAACAAGAGAGAGGTTTTACACACATGTGCAACAGTCTTATTACAGTGAACCCCGTGGTTTTACTCAAGCATGGTGTGTGATATTGTCCCTGGTATGTGATCATCTGATGCCTGGTTCTGGGCTCCTCATCACCAGAAAGCTTGCTTTCTTGCTAAACACAAGCTGCTTGAGGGCAGCTGGCCTTCTCAATCATTTACAACTTGGAACTCCCAACAGAACATCTCACATAATATATTAAAAAAAGGATTTAAAGAGACATGGGATGAGGTGATGGGTGTAGGAAGGGCAGGGGGAGTCAGAGGGAGAGAGATATGGTAATGTCATTACTCTTGGCAGAGCTGAGACACTGGTAGGAGGGGATGAAGGGAACAAGGGAGAGAAAGAGAGTCCCAAAGCGTTTTTTCTCCCCAGGTGAGAAGTCTCTCCTCCTGTCCACACTCGCAATGACTCAATTCTTTATTCCTTCTGACAACAATTCCTTCTTGTCCATGTGGAGAAAACCTAAACAGGCTATGTGATGTGTGCCAATGACACATTATGGGAAATGCATCAACTCCATTAACTGGTCAGAAATAACAACATAATGGGGAAAAAGATCAGAGAAAAGCTCCCACTGTTCTCGCTTTCTGAGGTCAGTGTGTCAGCCTGAACCCTGTGACCCAGAGAGAAGCCAGATTCAAACAACAACAGAAAGAGCGTAGAGCTGCCAAGAGCTAAACAAGGACTCTGCAAAACTGAAATTAAATATAAGAATGTATGGACAAGCAAGGAGGAGAAATCGAGGCAGAAAGAGAGAGGGAGAGGGCACATGCCAGAAAAACAACCACAGACGTGGTAAAATCACTGTGTGTGGACACTATAAAAGTGGAGAAAGAAATAAATCCTAGACCAGACGTATGAACACATGTACAGATCGCGTACATGTAAACAGTGTCCAGGCTGGACAGTGAGAGACAAAATGAGAGAGGGGAAAGAAGAAGAGGAAACAAAACAAGACTGAGCCAACTCTTTACCACTAAAGGGTGGACCGGTTCGTTTCTTGTAGGACTGGTCTGGCTTCATTTGATTTGTTTTGGCCAGACTATTCTGGACCCTCTCGTGCGGCGGCTGTGTGTAGTGAACCTGGCAGTCTCTAGTAGTGGACCACTAGGTTGTGTTGTGGCTAGTGCAGGGCCAGCCCAGCCCAGAGGTTCTCAAGTCCAGCATGATGTTGCGCAGGATGGCCGAAACAATCTTCAGAGAAATCGGAGAGGCAAAGCATCCCATACGGAGGAAGTGACCACTTTAACTGCCAAACAGCACTTCCCCTCTCACGCCCACACCTCCACAGCGGTCACAGAAAATAACTGTGTTTTTCACAGACCCCCATTATGTAAAACACAAAAAAGCCAGACAATGAAATGCATTAAACATGATATGCATCAAATTGCAGGTCACATAAGTCAACAACCTCGGGGGTTTTTCAAGAGCATTGCAAGACGAGGAAATTACAGGAACTAATCTACTAATATAAAGTGTGTAAAATATAGCCCCTGCCACGACATTGTAACTTCAGCACTGTTTACTTACACGCACCGCCCTTGGGGCACATGGACTGCTGGGAGCCAAAATTTATCAGTCTGTCTGTAAATGTACATGTTGGGCTGAACAGCACTGATGCTTAGAGGACCTACTCCCATCATAGAACAGATGTACATACAGAAAGACAAATTGTCTGTCTGTCTGGTGAAAATGAACTTGTTCAAATACAGGAAATGAACGCTGGGTTTTGACTCCATTTCCTCCCCCCTGCACTTTCTCCCAGGTGCTGAATGAGTTATTGACCACCCTCATATATCTTTTGGAAGCATATAGGGAGCACAATGTTCGTGAGGCTCACCAGACTGCTGAGGGAAGAGCATTGTGACAACATGTGGGAGCTTTTCTAGCCGGTCGGTATTTCAAACACCGCCTTGTTAACATGTCCGAGGGCCATCTGTGGAGAAAAAAATGGTGGCAGATATGGGTGGCAGTAGGAGAAGCAGCTGCACACCGGGTAGACTAATCCACTCATGGCTTTATTTACCTCCTCATTGTCCAGCTGAGGCAGAAGTAAGAGTTGCCTCAAGCATAGCAACAGAAAACAGAGGCAGAGATCAAGGATCAGCGAAGGAACACAACATCTGAGATACACATTGATATAAATACCGCTTGATTAAAGCATGCATGCAGACAGAAGAAGACCAATGACAAAGATGTGAAGGAACACCATGGAAAGGCTTTCTGCAGCAGGAAGAAGTAGCAATTACGGTGATGATAATTCCTGCACTTATGCAAACATGTTTTCATCCGAAGGGAGAAGCTGTAGACAGACAGTGGGTGGGAAGATGGATTTACCCTGAGTCAGGTGCCAAACAAAAGGAGAAGTGTTTAGGGCTCCTTGTTCACAGCCAAACCCAGGACAGGACAGAATATGTCATCACCCCACTGCACCCATGTATCTTCTGTCCCCTCACTATAAACCTTTTCTAAAACTTTGCATCTACTAGAGAAAGCTAAAGAAAAAAAGCCAAATGGAATAGCAGCAGCAGCAGCAGCAGCAGCTTTGCCCATCCAGATTAAGTGACCATGTGGCATCGCCTACCAGACATAAAATATATAGTATTACAAGATGTATTAGCTAAGCAGACGCTGTGATCTTTAAGCATAACTTATAGTCCGGCAGCGCTCTACTTGGGATATAACAGTGATATACCGTAGAAAAGCATGGCGAAGTGTAATATATAAGGCTTGCCCTGGAATGTAACAGCAGGAGTCTGTGATCTATTCAAGCCCACAAGCCTCCCATTACCAGCTCCAAACACCAAACCGCTTCTCCACATTAAAAAAAGGTCAGGGGACGGAGCCCT